GAAGCAATCATGAGTCGAGTGAGCGGCCTCTTTGAGAACGACTGACCATCGCGGACTCCATCGGCAAGTTGCGAAGCAAGTAGTGAGAACATGCGATCGGTGAGCATACATCAACAAGGAAGCAAGTATCTCAGAAATTAAGGGGATGTAATGTATTCAGAAGAAGCTACAAACTACTAACGCGGAGCAACAAAGGGGAAGAGAAACAACGGGAGAAAGAACATGGCAGAAACCAGCGCAAGCTCACACTAGCGTGAAACGGAGCGACGCGACCAACGAAGCGTGCAAAAAGACAGCAGAGCCAAAAGCGACATTCCAGCTACCTCATCGGTTCGTGGCATCGCAGGATGGCTCGCTTCAGTCGGCACGAAGAGAAATTCCCGGCGGAATCGGTTCAAGGACGGCACTTCTCGCCTTTCTCGAAGCACAACTCGACAACCTCGCGTGCGCCGTTGTGGAAGCACTTCTTCTTGATGCCGCAGGTGAACTGCCAGTCGCACATCTGGGAGGAGTTAGTCGACGAACTGTACCAATGAAGATGATGCAACATTGCAGGGGGTGGGTGGGCAAGGCAGTGACTTACGTTGCAAGACTCATCACCGGACTCGCACAGATAGCAATCCTCATCGGCAAAGGAGAAGTCTGGCCGGGTTCCGTTGGAGATCGCCGGCTGCAAATGGGTGGTCGTTGTGTTGGAAGTAGGGGCGTCATCGCCGGCGAGCACTAGAAGCATCGCGGCGGAGCCAAGGAAATCGCCGGAAGCCATGGACGTGTCGTATGCTTTGGACGCCTCGGCGTCCTCTAGGAGGCTTATGCAGATCTCCGCTTCGCTGAGAGGGTCTTTGCACAGGAAGTGCTCACAGCCTTGGTCTTCGTCGCAAGCGAAATCGCACCCCTGTTTGTAACGGAAGTCAGTCAGAAGTTTATGAGCACACGATGGACTAGTGCTTCAACTTACATCGCACTCTGGGTTGCCGTCGCAAGAGTCGCACATTGGCTTGGCGATAATGCTATCGCGGGGAGACGTAGGCGCAGGGGTTTGGTTGGCACGAACTGACCTGGCTACGGTGTGGGTCGCGGTCGTGATCACAGTGACGGGAATCTCGAGCACGTGTGGTGAGCGCGAAGCAGTAACAGTCGGTGGCTGGAGCATGATCGTGGACGCTGGATCTTGGTAGTGATAGGTGACAGTGGAAGTTGTGCCTGGTTGCTGGTAGACGACAGTAGAAGCTGGGTTCTGCACAGTAACGATGGATGTGGTGCCTGGTTGCTGGTAGATTACAGTGGAAGCCGGCTTCTCCACAGTGACGGTGTTAATCTGAATCTGAGGGGCTGCCACGACGACAGTGGTGGTCTGAACCCGAGGAGCTGTCATGACGACAGTGGTGGTCTGAACCCGAGGAGCTGTCACGACGACAGTGGTGATCTGTGGACGCTGAGCAACAACTGTCACAGTGCTTGTCTGTGGACGCTGAGAAATAACTGTCACGGTGCTGGTCTGTGGACGCTGAGTAACCACTGTCACAGTGCTGGTTACTACAGGTATCGAAGTAGTGGTCGTAGTGCATGGGGAGCTCTGAGGAGCTACGACAACAGTAGTGGTACTGGTAAGAGGGGCGGACACGGTGACGGTGACGACTGGCGAGGACGTGGGGCCAACGACGGTCGAAATGACCACTGTCTCGGTGGTAGTTGTGGTCTCGCTGGGTCCGGAGGCAGAGACGTTGAAGCCCGGGGGCTGCCATTTGGAACGGACGCTCATGCACACCGTCATGTGAGTGGCTAAGTTGTTGCAAAGGTACTTGTCGCACTCTGCGCAGTCGGCGTGGCATTCCTGAGAAAAGATAAGTTAGCAAGCTGAATACAGGCAAGAAACTTGGGACAGATCAACGTACTGGGCAAGTTTGGTCATTGCAAGGGAAGCATTCCGACTGCTTAAAGGCAGTGCGACGAGTAGGTGACTGGTTGTCGCCATCGTTGGAGGCTAGCTCATCGCGAGGGGCCAGACCAGTGTGCGTCGGGGGTACGGCTGTACGAGCAAGCGTGATGGTAGTGGTGATGTCGGAGATTGATGCCTCAGAAGTAGGCATGGCGGTCACAGTTACGACCGAGGTGCTGATGGTGGTCTTGAGGATGGTGGCTGTGACTGTGTGATTGCGGATGGCATCGCTGAGCTCGGGCTGGACGTCGAAGCAGCTACGCGTATTCAGAAAAGCGTCGAAACATTGGTAATGGTCGCAGTCCCGACATTTGTATTCATAAGGCTTGCAATACTAGCAGCCAGAAGGTCAGCAAAGATCATCCTATTCCGAAAGAAGAGAACATGAGGAAGACTTACGTCGCAAGGTTCCTTAACTGAGCACTGTTTGCATGAGGTTTCCGACAGAGCAATGGTACGAGGGGATACTGAGTTGTCGTTGCCAACAGCCATGTCGCCTCCCTGGTAGTAGGAGCAGTAGTTGTTCTTGTCGCAGCCAATGTGCCAGTTCCCGTCGACGACGGGAGTGTGCTGGGCTGGGACAGCATCGACAGGGTCCTCAATGGAACTTGGCTTGACTGCCAGGCCGGCAGGCGTAGCGGCACCGAAGGCGATGAAGCAAGCGATGATGCTGGTGGTGAGACGCATGGCGTGGGGTGTGGTTGGAGGAACCAAGCTCTACCGGTGGGATGCGTTGATGGGGTGGGCTCAGGTATGGATGACGGATGGATGAGCTGGGTAGAAGAGTTGATGGTAGAGTTGCTGGGCTGGTTGTGATGTGAGAGAGAAATGGAGGATGGAGACCCGAGGACGGGATTATATACTCATGCACGTAGCTTGTAGACGGGCAGCAGCAGTGAGGTGCTGCTGCTTCATGGTGTGTTGATGTTTACTGTGGTTGTAGATGGAAGAAGGTGGAACATGCTGAACCTGACGACGATGCTACTCCAAAGACAGCAAGGCCGACTCCTACACGTGGTAGTCAGAGAAGTCTCGAGTCTCCTCGTTGGAGAAGCGGCCAGTGCCTTGATCTTGCAGCCTCCTCTACATGCCTCGATTAGCCAGTTACCCAAACATCGTCCGCGGGATGGGCGTGCTGCAGCAATAGGTGGACCAGTAAACACAAGTGCTAAAGGAGAAATGCTATTTTTCGAGTGCGGCTGCATCTTTTACAGCCTATGTCCTGTCCATGTAGGGTAGTAGGGCTCGGCGGAAGTGCTCTTTCGTGATGAGCGTGGTGTCAGCAACTCGGAAGGAGCGTACGGGCAGCCCGGGAACTGCATATAGCATGTCACAAGGGATGCATCGATGCACTACAGGCGTATGAGTGTGTCCATGTATTAGACTCACGGTTCGAAGCCTTGCACAGAATTCTCGTGCGTGATGTTCCATATGCATACGTAGGGCTGCTCCTGTGCTGGGAAGGATCTCAATGAGATACACGACGTGCAGCCTGGTGGCTGGGGACTTGCGCTGCCATGTAAAGGTTTCGGCAATGCTGAGATCTCGTGGCACGCGATGGAAAGGATGACGTTCATTGAGTCTAATGGAGTGGAAGCTGGCCGGGAGTCGCGAGATGGCTGCAGCCAATCAGGCAAGGGGCTGACGTAGCGCGTCAAGCTCCGTGGGGAAGGCGCGACGGTGGGTCAACTGCGACTCCATAGCTACCAGCGACTGCGAAACGACGCATCCAGACCTGAGCGCCCTGTTGGTCATGATGGACCTCTCGACGCTTGGGCGTGCCCCTCAGTGGCTCTCGTCCGCTCCTTCACTTCTGGTCCTGCTCCGCGTTCCAGCGTTTCTGGCTACACAAACGCCTGCAAGCCCCGCGCAGCCCACTGCAGGCAACTGCGGCACCAACTTTACTTGAACCCTGATCTCGCCCGTATTCTCTCTCTAGCTTGCTGCCAATCCCGCTCGCAAGCCTCTCTACCTTACATCTCCCTGCGCAGCTCATTCTACAAAACTCACGCGCGACCAACTGCCCGCCATGACCAACGACAAGGCTGCACCCGCCTTCATGGACCTCCCGCTCGAGGTGCGACACTCCATTTTCGAGCATGTGGCCGCGCGCGACGTCAAGCCTAAGAAGCTGCTCCGCTACTGGTTCGAGAAGAAAGAGGTCAAGGAACTCGTTGCCCAAGACGCCATTGACAACCCCAACGGTCCCACCCCGCGCGTCGTATACGCCAACGACTACGATGATCACGATGACGAGAGTGCTGTAAGCGACCACAACAGTGAGGAGGATGATCAAGAAGAGAACGAAGATGCCGCGGAGGACAGCGAAAACGAGGACGAGGACGAAGACGAAGATGGAAATGAGGACGAAGGAGCAGATCAGGAAGATGGCAATGATGAGGATGAAGCTGAAGATGAGTCTGAGTCTGACTTGGACGGCGAAGATGAGGACGATGAGGTAGAAGGAGCTGTCGCCGGCGCGCACGATACCCAGTCGGCAACTGCTAGCGTCCACGTTCCAGCCCAAGCTACGGCTCAAGTTGACCCCGACCACCACTCCGAAGACGGGATGGCAGCGGAAGAACCTGGACAAGGACATGCCGGTGAGGGTGACAGCGAGGATGAGGGCGACAACGGCGAAGAGTCCGAGGGTGCCCACCTACACAATGAGGACGAGGCCGAAGGCGATAGCGATGGCGACGAAGATTTGGCTGATGACGGCGGTAACGCTGCTGCTACAGTTGTTGCAGCTCAGCCTCCTCCTCCAGCACCCGTATTCCGACCTCACAACAAGTGGCGCCACATACCGAACTTCGTGCGCATCACTCACTGTCCTCCGCCGGTCCAGCTCCTGTTGGCCTCCCGCCAGCTGAACAACGAGGCAAAGAACTGGTTCTACGATGTAGCCGTCCTACGTATCGACGCGACTGGTAGCTTCGCCCACACGTCTTTCTTCGAGGAGGCAAGTCATTTCCTTGGATGAATCAACGTGTGACATGTACTGACTTCGTGAACCAATGTTTAGGCCTTCAGCCAGATCACCGATGCTGCCTTTTCTCCAATGGAGAACATCCGAAAGGTTGATATCACTTTCGTTTGGGATTCGGCCTGGATCCGCGCCGACACTACCGACTCCATCGAGGCCATCTTCCCTGCCCTTCTTCGCCAGCGCTCCAATTTCGTATTCGAGATCCTGTTGAAGGCGCCAGACTTGCGAGAGGTCGTCATTCATTGGTAAGTCAGCTCAAGGTTCGATTTACTTTCGAACAATCACTAACGTTGCGCTCCTAAGGCACGACTCCATTCAAGACGACGAGAGCGCTAACCTCATGCTCGACAATCTTGCACCCTTCCATACGTTGGGCGCTACCGTCAACATCATCGAGCACTACATCGCGGCGGACGCCAAGCCCAAAAAGCGTAGTATCGCTGGCAAGCGTCGCGTCGAGTTCCAAAACATACTTGACATGGGTCTTGATCGGCTCTTCTAAGATGCGATGCTTGGCATCGTCGCACGGCGAAAACTCGGTTCGTGTTTCTGAAGAAGGCAGCCATTTGTGGATGTGATCGAGGGTAGCTTTCCTTTTTCATGAAGTTTCGCCCCAGCAAGCCGGGACTTTGCGTCCTAGTGCCTTAGCCTACACATGCCATCGACTCTTGCGGTTACCGTGCATCGATCCATGGTTCCGAATGCGCAGTGTTAGTGGGCTGCAGGGTTCAAGTATCCGAAAGTAGGCCTTCGGAAATTCCAAGATACCTCATTACACTCTTCCACAATCTCTGTTATCTTTTGTGCTCTACGAATGAAGTGTTTGCTAACATCACCACCACCAGGTCAGAATTTAAAAACTGCGCGGAACATGCGTTCTACATTGTACCTCTCTACGTCCTTCTTTTGACAATTGTTATCCGCGGTTCTCGGACAGGCGCATATGATCGCCGTTAGGTTACGGCTCACGAATGCGGGGAAAGAACACCTGATGTGCTATTCACCACCACCATGGCTGATAGCGCAAACACAAGGCTATCCTGAGTGGACGGCATGGGAGATCGTTCAATTGTTGTGAGAGCTAATAGCTCGTAGCGTTCCCTAAGCCTTGGGGTCGCCATCTAGATGCGCGGAAAGGGTCCGCTAGTATCACCGGCGCCAAGCCGAAAACAGCAGAAGATGGGGTAGTGCGGTACTCAAGTTCACAAAAAACCTATGGCATCCGATAAATGGTCTGCGATGGACTGTAAGTGGCCGAACTTTATTTGCGAGGGGCGAAGAAATACTGAACATTTACTTAAACGGATTGCTGGACTCCCAAATCTGACTCTTGACAGTTGTCTTGTCATCTGGTATCCGAACATCTTCTCAGAGTGCCCAGATCATAACAAAATTTCATCATGGGTATATACAACAAGCTTGCAGACGACATTAATGAGGTAGATGTCATCATCGCTGGAGGTATGTCTATCATATTCACCCTCATCGATTCTCCCACTGACATCTTTGTATAGGCGGTACAGCGGGTTGTATCATAGCCGGTCGACTTGCTGAAGATGACCCCTCCCTCTCTATTCTTGTAGTCGAAGGGGGCGCGAACAACAAAGATGTCGCCAGCGTTGTCAACCCCGTTTTCTACTTGCAGAACTTACTGCCTGCCACCAAGACCGCTCTCTTCTACAAAGGAAACAAGTCGAAGCAGCTAGCCGATCGTGAACCCATTGTACCTTGCGGTGGTACCTTGGGCGGAGGCAGTTCAATCAATTTCATGATGTACACACGAGCACAAAGATCAGACTTTGATAGTTGGAACACACCTGGCTGGTCAGCTGAGGAGATGTGGCCCCACCTAAAGAAGCTAGAGACCTACCATGGGCCCGGAGCGAAAGAGCACCACGGCCACAGCGGACCAATCCATGTCTCAGACGGAGGGTATCGCGCAAAGGCTGCTGAAGACGACTTCATAAGGGCAGCTGAGATGGTCGGGTACCCTGAGATCGAAGATTTGCAGAACCTGGACGACAACAACGGTATCGCGCGATGGCAACGCTACGTCTCACCAGAGGGCAAACGCCAAGATACCGCACACACATACCTCCACCCGAAGCTCGAAGATGAGCGGTATTCCAACCTTCACGTTCTCGTCGAATCGAAGGTGGTGCGCGTACTGTTCGACGAGAACAAGCGTGCCACTGGTGTCGAATACACACCAAATCCAGAGTTCCAAGCTGAAATCGGTCTGAGCATGCATCCTGTGAAGGCTGTCAAGGCTCGCAAGTTGGTCGTCGTCACATCTGGTGCTTGCGGTACACCGCCCATTCTCGAACGTTCGGGCTTGGGCTCCAAAGAGATCCTCGAACGTGCTGGTGTACCTCTTGTGGAAGAGCTACCTGGTGTAGGAAAGGACTACCAAGACCACCACCTGCTTCTCTACCCCTACAAGACTGCCCTAGCGCCCGACCAAACCATCGATGGCATCCTCAGCGGACGTGCCGACGTTGCCGAGATGATGAAGAACAAAGACCCTATGCTAGGCTGGAACGGTATCGACATATCCTCCAAGCTTCGCCCTACTGAAGAAGAAGTCACTTCCCTCGGACCAGAGTTTCAAGAAGCGTGGAACCGAGACTTCAAGGATGCGCCAAATCGTCCGCTGATGCTGTGCGGTCTGGTGTCTTGCTTCTTGGGCGACCCAGCAAGCATACCTGCGGGCCAGTACGTCACAGCAGGTAACTACACCGCATACCCCTACTCGCGCGGACATATGCACATTACTGGTCCGAAGCACGATGACCCACTAGACTTCGACGTGGGCTTCTTCAACGACAAAGACGACATCGACCTCAAGAAGCAGATCTGGGCGTACAAGAAGCAACGCGAGATCTTGCGACGTACGCAGTTCTACCGTGGCGAATTGGCTGCGGGCCATCCAAAGTTCGCTGCCGATTCCGCGGTCGCACTACAAGAGAATGTCGAAGGGCCTTTGGAAGACGTCAAGGATCTGGTATACAGCAAGGAAGACGATGCTGCCATCGAGCAGTGGCTACGAGAGAACGTCAACACAACGTGGCACTCGCTGGGCACGTGCAAGATGGCGCCAAGGGAGGAGGATGGTGTTGTTGATTCCTCCTTGAACGTGCACGGCATCAAGGGTTTGAAGATTGCGGATCTCAGTATCCCTCCGGAGAATGTGGGTGGTAATACGAATAACACGGCGCTTGTCATTGGTGAGAAGGCGGCGGATATTATCATTAGTGAACTACGCGGCAGCGCTGGTACCCCGTAGGATAGGGTAACCTGTAGAATGTAAATTAACGTCGATCAACTTATAAATTTTCTTGCATCTGATGGAGTCCAATTCAGTATGGCCGGTGATTTGAGTGTGAGAAGGAGGTTCGTGCCGATCCGCCTCGCGCTTGCCCATTAGGCTATTTATCCTTTTGCCCAACCTATAACCTATACCTAAACCTTCTATTCTCGCGATCCGTCAGATCAAGGAACTCTTCATTCTCTAGATGCGTTCCATCATCCTCTCGATCCCTCTTCTTGTTTTCCCACATGTAGTAGGCTCTCAACACGAGCGCCATAGCAGCCGCAAATGCGCAAGTCACTACGATGGTGACCTTGGCTGGTATGAAATCAGGCCCATCGCCTTGGCGGAATGTCAACGGTCCGATGATATTTCCTAAGCAGAAAGACATGAGCAGGATAGCATTCATGGTTACTTTCTTCGTGTGACCGGCAATGTTCGCAGACACCCAAGAGTAGAGGAGCGGTAAGCTGGAGCCAATGCAGTTGGTAAGGTAGTTCCCGATGAGCTTTCCCACTCTAGACTCGCCGGGGAGGAAAGCCATGAGGCAGCCTCCAAGTGCGCCAGGTATAAGCAAGGAGACTACATTCAGTGCGCGTTGGTTGAAACGGCCGGCGAGGTATGTAGCGATGAGAATTGAAATGACGCTGACTGCTCCCGAAGGTAGTTGTAGCAAAGCTGTAGTCTTGGAGCTGAAGCCGAATGACTTGATCAGCGTGGCCTGGTAGGAAGACACTGCACCGTTGGGTACGTTGGATGATATGGTGATGATTGATAGCATCCATGTCTGTGGGTCTTTGAAACAATCAAGCACTTGGTGAAACTTGAAATGCGTGTTCTCGATGCCAGTTTGGTTCTCGCGTAGGCGTTCGATGGCCCATACCTTCTCTGATGGGGTTAGGCGAGAAGACATCGGGTTGTCGGGAAGGAGCAACACCACTGCGTAAGTCAGTACCGTTTCGAAAACCAGTTATAGTGATCCACATACCAGTTATACCGACAGAGACAGTAACTAGGCCCACAACCAAGAACATGATCTGCCAGCTAGTAAACGTGGCACTGTCGTAGTGCTGAAACCCGAAACTGATCAGACTTCCGATAATCGTTCCTGTTCCTGCAGGGGTAGAGGTATGAAGTCAGTATATGTCTCACATGCATATCGTACAGCCAGGACTTACCAACTCCTAGATACCAGATACCGGTTCGCAGCGGTTGTTCTTTCTTCTTATACCACATCGAAGTTATCAGGATCAAGCTGGGTGCGACGGCCGACTCGAAGCAACCCAATAAGACGCGTGTAGCGACTAGAGCGCCGTAGTTCTTGCACACGCATGTGAGTGCCGTGACGAGACCCCAGAGGATGACCGCTGCGCCGAGGTACTTTGCAGTAGGCAGACGCTGCATGCCGTAGCCATGAGGGAACTCGAGCGCGAGGTAAGATACGTAAAAGAAGAGAGCGAGGTTGGAGAATTGTGCCGTGTTGATGTTCGCGTCCTCGTAGAGACCCATCACCGCCGCGTAGTTCACTAGTACGGACCGTTAGTGTCTTTGCTTGCAGAGTAGTGATGCAGCAATGCAAAGAGCTGACATACCTAGTGTCTTGTCCAAATACTGCAAGCAGTAACAACACCACATCAATGGCATGATCATCCAATCAATCTTCCGAACCAGTCTTCGTTCATCCTCTGGCGTGAGAGCACCGACGTTGTGTGCATTCTTAAGAAATTTGAGGGCCTCATCGCCGTTGTTGGATGGCTCCTCGACGGTACCAATCTCGACGTCTGAATGCGGTCGCGATGGAGAAGTGTCGCCCGATTTCGACTCGTGGGCTATCTCTTTCTCTGGGATGCTCATCTTGCCGATATGAAGACGAGGACAGATAAAGTAGATATTATTATCGATTGGTTTCCATGTAGTATGCGGTGCGACATGGTATATGTAACGAACCCAGTACCCTACCATCTCAACATCTGCATTGCCGTGTCGCCCCTCACATGCATGCCGACCTCATACCCGGCATGCAGCATTACCTATCAAGGAGCATCTATCGAAGATCGCTTCTGCGTCCTCAATGGCAGCCAAACATCGTTTCTTCCGACCAGCATCCCTTATCATGAACCCTGTAGCGACAAGCCGATGAACGCGCGATAGGTCCCAGATCTCTAGCCTGCATCGTAGGCGACACAGTGAGATCTTTCTTCCGAGGAATAGCCAAGAGTGCAGCGTGTGATAGCAGATTGCTAATGTGTAGACGTGATGATGTCAGTGGAGATAGTATCGCGGCTGATAACGCTCCCCGTTCGCTTGCGGGGCGCTAGGTGACGTTAGGAAGGTGGTGTGTTGGTCCCTGATGAGGGGTACAACGGTAGCCAACGTCGTGAGCGCCTATGGACTTTGTATGTTTAGCAACTGCAAAAGGTAAGAGCGATATCTCGGAAATAAGCCCTGCAGAACGGAAGTGTACGCAAGAACGCACTTATCTTCACCACTTCCTCCGTTACGAACGCTCTACATTTCTGTGAACCCTGGACCCCGGGAGAAAGCTTAATGCAGTCTTCATTCTCGCGTGTATGCCAGGCTTTCATTCCGCTGGGAACAGCTAGGGATAAATGTATTATGTCTTGCACAAAGAGTGTGCACGTCAAATATTGAAAATTGTAATGCCACTTGAAAGATGTCTCACTACTGATAGCACACATCTTCGTAAGTCTCGTGAAATCCTTGAAGAAAAATGTCATTCACACATAACTAGCTCAAGTCTGGAGAATAGTCAACTATTTGGTGGTTACCATTTAGGTATCTCGGTATAGGCTTCAGGTTTAGTAACTCTTCTAGGCAACGACTTGAATAAAGGTGGTCTACCGTGTTGTCTTGTTTGGTAGTCACACGGCAGTCATGATTGGAACTGAGCAAAAGAATTGCAACTAATATGGCGTCCACATGGGACGCTGTATAATATGAATTCTGGGTATCAATCTTTCTCTGACGATCTGTGGTCACATCCGAACGCCAACAGCAAATAATTAAACAAGCACACTATCCAGTACGCCTTCGATCCAGGCTTCCCAATTTCCCCTCTTCAGCCCCGCCACCCCTTTCGCCGCGGAGCCTTCGTTCTTCCCGACCTCTTTCTGCAGCCCTTCCTTCGCGCCATCGCCCTGCGCTTCCCACCACTCTGCCTCGGCCCTATCTTTGGCCTTCTTGACCACCCTCTCTTCGTCCTCTACGCGGTATAGATCACATTTATTGCACTCGCCGCATGGCTGTCCGGGCCGTTCGCGGAAGTGTCCACAAAAGTGTTGATAGCCCTCATTCGCAAGACCCTGTCGGCAAATGTAGCACATGCTGTACCCACAAAGACAAACGAGCTTATTGCAGCCCTCGGATTTTACAAAGCCTAGGTTGCATTGAGGACAGGTACGCTTGACTGCGTCTGTGGTAGCACGTTCGAGTGTGAGTCGAAGGGACGTGAGTTGGGAAGAGAAACATGTGTGGGGGTCATGCCAGGGAAGGGAGCACGAGAGGCAGGATGCGCGACCGCAGCTTGGGGAGAGACACTGAAACCGAAGGCCGCGACGCTTCAGGTGGACACGCCTGAGGGCGGATCGAAAGGGTGCGATGACGGGCAGGCGAAATGTGATGGTGGCGAAGGTGTAAATAAGAATAATTGCGAAAAGTAAGGCTCGCGTGGCTTGGAAGCACAGTAACTCGAATAAGGGCACCGATGCCAGCGAAGCCAGTATCAGTGGGCGGGATTTGAAACGTAGGCTGGCGAAGAGATTGGTATCTGGAAGCGCGAGGTCATCCAACTCCGCATACGAGCAGAAGGGACACTGTACGAGTGGTAGCTGAGATCTGGTCAGTGCATCGCTAGCGAAGCGCTCGTTGAGTTTGTTCAGGTTGTCCTTTCCATCTTGCTCTTCCAGAAGAGCGCGCTTCACGAACGAGAAGGGTATGCAGCCACGGCACTCTTCGGAGCCACCGGTCATAGGCGCTATGCATTTCAGGGTACACAGGTCCGTGTTGATGTTACGCGCCCACCCCTGGTCGTAGAGGGCAGCGTTGATAGCATGCCGTATGCAACGGAAGCAGATGTAGTGGCCGTCGATATCGCAGGTCGACATCTGCTGAAGCGTGTTGGGTATGAAGCAGCATTCGCAGTCGTACATTTCGCCTTCACGCTCGGCCTCCTCGTCGTTCCATTGCACAGCCAAGTCATAGTCCTGTCGCAATTGCGCGTTCCGGTGTTTCTCATGTTCCGGTACAATAAGTGCGTTGTAAAGCTCCTGATTCAGCTCGTCGCTTCGTGTCTTTACGAGAAGTGGCATAGACGGACGGTTCAGGCGTTCGTCGGCGGGAGTCCATATGACCAGGGGGTGGTCACTGGCCGTCGGCGCCTTCCGTCGCATCAGGAAGTTGGTGATGCTAGATCTCCAACTTCTAGTTGATAGTTCCAATAGCGTTGGTCGTGCATGCGTATAGCTGTAGTTGTATTCAGCCAGCACAGCCTTGATGGTCGAGTGGCTCAGGCCTTTGAATTCCTGATACAGTGCTTCTTTGGCAGCCTCCTTGTACCGTCGTGACCGAAACTTTTCTTCCAGCGCAAGCGGTACGCCTCGAGTGTCTCTCGGTGCGTCTTCCTTGCGGTATTTGTACCTCTGCGCCGTCTCCCGCTGCTCTTCCTGCTCGGCAGGCTTCCTGTACCGGCCCCGCACGTACTTGTCGCCATGCTTTAAAAGCGTCTCGGTAACGACTTGCAGCCTGCTCTCTTCGCTAAAAGTAGACAGCATCTCTCGGAAAACCTCGGGTTGCAGGTCGGGGAAGATGTCGGTAAGCGCTTGCAGGGCGGCATTGAGGTCGCGCAGGTCGGGCTCGTCGAGGCCATGACTGTCGATCGAGGGCGGAGGCTGGGCCGCGGGCTGCGTAGCTGCGGAAGCGCGTCGCAGCTTGGGTGGGCGTACCAGGGAGGCGAAGACGGTCGACATTGCAGATAGTGCGCCTAACGCTGCGGCGGAGGAGGTTTGCCAAGCATGCGGAGACGACAGGCCAAGAGACGTGAGCAGAAGTTAACTAGACATTAAAAGTAGTAGGGGGAAGTAAGAAGCGTAGAAGTGAAGCATCAAGCCCGGAGATGGTCGTGTGCATCGTAGGAATTAAGTTGAAGGATGCTGCCGACTCCGAGAGGAATGACGCGTAACCGATCCAGACCCTGCCAATCATTATCGCCTGCGCACGTGAGACCTGCACCTCCACAAACTCCCCAAACACCACGCCTAGATTGTTCGACCCCGGCTTCATCGCCTCCAGTAACATCTATGCCATATGTCAAGGGTCGACTGGTCGGATGATAGGCATATCGGACGCGCTTCATCCTGCGTATTATCGATGATGCTTTCTCCAATGCATAGGCATCCAAGGCTGCGCACTTCTCTTCGCCTTCACTCAGCCAATCCAGCAGACTCTGACGGCGCACAGACTTGGCAGTCTCAAACTTAGGCTGTACAAGCATATCCTGATGCGCGCAACAGCTACCCCGCTACACGGGTTCTGCCTTACGGTTGCTACTCGACGCATGCTACTTCTGTCACGCTGGCATATGAACTCTTAACAAGCCAACAACTCCACTAAACATGTCGCAATCCGTGGCTCAGCCTCCCGCTATGGGACCAGGTACTCTTGACGGCGGTGGAATCCCAATAGCCACTGGGGAGCAGAACTCAGGTCAAAAGGTCGCTCCGATCAAGAAACGCCAACGTGGTAGAAGGCGGTAAGTATTGCGCTGACACTGGTCTGTACGAGTGTACAGACAACTAACAGAAGCGCAGCCAGCACAAGAATCAGGATTCAGTAACAGTGGAATTCGAGAGTTCAGTAACATCAAATGCGCTACAAGCCCATGAGGCATTTATTGACGGCGATCCCCCTACAACGGCCGGGACTGCAGACACCAAAGAGGACGATGCTATACGGCCGAAGGCACGAAATGCGCGTCCTTCAAAACTGTGAGTAGGCTAATCTTGCCCCAATTTTCACTCAAGTCTGACTCCACACATAGAGAGCGTGCTAGGCGAAATGGAGCGAAAGCATCTCCGCCCGTAACAACTTCTTTGGCGTCAGCAGAAGTTGCAACAGTGAAGGTACCGGTCAAAGGGAAGCTTCCGATAATACCTCAAGGAGACGCAGTTCCATCAAAGGGATTAAGACCTCAATCTGCGAGAGCAGGACAACCCCGGGCACAGCTTCCACACCAGGCGCCTTCTTGGAAAACGTCATGGATGTTCCGGGAGACCGCCGAGCTGCCCGTTCGCACAATAAAGGCAACAACACTGGAGCCAGATGGCACCAAGGTGTCGTCTGAGCGTGGCTTCGAGACCTTGTGTAGCTACAACTGGCAGTGTGATGGATCCATCTATGTACCTGGTGCACCTCCGAGGTGGAACCCTCCACCACTGCCGGCCACTCTGGCTCAGGACTCAGGGAGACACTTCGTCGATCAGAACGCATCTCGCGTGCCCAAGTATCCTTTCGAGCCAGCCTTCGCTGCCCTTGCTGTGATGGGTCCCGACGTCGTGCTAGATCAAGTCGACATCATCGCCAACCGCAACAGTCTTCGCAAGCTACTCGATTTTTCGGCTGGGAGGAAACTGGACATTTTCTGCATGGGCTTACACATGGTCGGCAATACGCTCGTCATTAGCCGTAAAGAACGGAACGCTCAGCAAATGATCCATGGTGCACCGAACGCGGGCTACGGACATAACTTCGAGAAGACCTTCACGATGCCTGATCATGGAATGGGGAACTCTAGCAGTCATCACAGAGTCATTCGGTACCATATCGGCCCTTTGAACTGCGTTGTCCGTTTTGAAGTCGATGCGTATTACGATGACCCGGATGTCGGCCTGGACTCGAAGTCTGAACAGCCTAGGGATGAGCCCGTTGGCACCGTGAGCGCTGCTATGGCACAACTGAATATTGCAGGCCTGCCACCAACTCAAACTAAACCTCGAAAGACTCCCGTCGATAAGTCTACCGTAGTTGTTGAAAAGGGAATCTTCATCGACCCGTCCAAGCTCGCTGAGATCAAAGCCAAGAAGGTCGCACGTCTTACAGAAGCACTACCGCAGCTTTGGTTCGGCCGTACGCCCTACTTTATGAACGGCAACCATGACAAGGGTACGGTGCACTCGGTGAGTATCAGTCATGCTGAAAAGGACTACCCCCGATGGGAGGAAGCCAATCAAGACAGGCTGCGCAAGATGGTGAGTTTGCTGGCCGAACTAAGGGAGGTCGTCGCACGTACGAAGAAGCGCGCAGCCGTGATAGTCTACGATGAGAAAGGCGGGCCATTGAAGGTATATGCAATGAAGAGGAACGGCGGTGTTCTGCCAGCGGACCTCATCTCAAGACACTGGAGTACTGCATAGCGAATTACAAGTCAATGGGACCATATAATGAGCTACAGAATGATACCAAACACCACGATACACAGAACCGACAATTGCCATCAGCCAGCTGTTGGGCTCACGCTTTCACCGTCTTCAGCCCACCTCCAAGTAACAGCCGCTCTTCCAACATCCTTATGAGCACAAAATTTGAACACGTCGTCCAGGACATCTAGATCCATCGGCCTACAGGCCGCGCACCGATCTCTAACCCAAAGTTCGACTTCTTTCCTGTCAAATCCAACCTCTCCATTCCCTGCACACGAAGCAATAATCTTTCTTCCACACAACGCATTCTCCTTTTGGTCTAGGCTCCCTCCTCTGCCCCAGTCATACAGTTGCCAACCAATAGCCGCTATGGCCTCACCATGCATTATCATCCCATTCTGGCACGTTGGCGGCTTTTTGTATGCATCGTCTCCGTTGTAGAATGAGATCTCGCCTATCTGCGATGTCTTTGGTACCACGATATTGGGAACGGTGGAATCGTCTACGAAGCTCGATGTGTAACCACATGGGATTGGTACCGAGAGACCAAGACTATGACCTGTTAGGCGTGCAGAAACAGGACCCCAGGTGGATATAGTCGGTGGGTCTGGGAAGGAGGTTATGATTGGGGTGCTCCAAGCTGCTTTGAAAGGGTAAGAGATTGTTGGAATGTCAGCTGGGCAAGAATTCGGCTGAGATTGAGGCATCGTGTTGGATGACAGCGGGGTTTGCGTTGCGCTCATGATTGTTGTGGTGCCAAGGATGCCAGTCCCTGTACTTGGGGACAGCGTTAGAGGGGCGTTACTAATTGGTATGTTTGAAGGAGTTGCGAAGCCCGAGATCGAATCTACGTTCGTGACAGCATTGGCCTGGAGCAAGATGGACGACGATTCGGATCCAGTCATGCCAATGTCAGTCGGCGACTCAGCAGTCGAATCTACTATTGGCGGTCCGCTGGTTGCTGGCAACAAACTACTTCCGCCTCCACCGCCTTGACTAGGCATTTCTTCGTCATCGCCGTCGCATTGTTCAATACTCCCTTCCATGCTGTTTTTGACGTTGCAAAGCAAGTTCACACTTTGAACATACTTCTCGCCTTCCTTGGCCAAGGCACACATTGCCGTAGTCTTGTCCAGTATCCTATGGAAATAGTCCTTGTAGTCGCATTTTGCCCCTTCGCTTATTGCTGGGAAATCCTGCTCGAAGCTATCGCATATGGTCGTATTAAGCGTTTCGCCCATCTTGAGATCCTCAGATGTCGGGGGTGCTTCTGTTTTGAGGGAGTAGCACAATTGCATGAATAGTAGTCGCAGCTCCCAAGAGGCTTTCCAGTACGTTTTCAGTACCTCTAAACCTGGCGGAGAAGGTGGTTGAGCGGGCACTTCACGGCGTTCAAGGATCCTCGAAGGTACTGCGGGATTCGGTTTGCCCATGAAATTCCAATGCTGGACTTCTCGACGCACCGCGGCATTGCTGCTGGTTATACTCAGAACCTTCACACTGTAGCTGTTATCCGCGGCATTATTCTTCGTTGTCGCAGTCGGTATGATCGTCAGAGAAGGAAGCAAATGCCGATTTTGCTCGACATCCCCAGTAAACAGTGGCAAAAAGCGCCGGAGATATCGTAGACTTTCCCCTAGATTCGGTGCTGCTAGTCGTCCCGCTTGCGCAACGGAAGATGTCGAAATGACTCCAGTCTCTTCACCTGCAGATAGAGTAGCTGAGGTTTCGGTAGGTAAAGGTGTCGTATCTGGACTAGCCGTTGAGTCGGCGGCAACAGAAGAGACTTCCATGCTGGGTATATCGGTATCATACGAGGAAGCTGTAGAATCGGGCAGACCACCAGTATGAAAGATGGTATTTGTTATGCATTTCGGACCGGTCTCTGCAGGTTCGGGCTCTGGCGGCTGCGGCGAAGCTGAATCGCTGCCAGCACTGGAAGCTACCAATCTAGATGTCCGAATAGTACTCGTGATCGTCGTTGTCAATGTGGTAGTAATTGTTATAGTAACATCTTCGCAGTCCTCTGGGTCCTCTCTTCGACCAAGGTATCCACCTTGGTCTAGGTCCAGAAGCGAATCGTAGCGGAGAGAACCATCAGCACGTTGGTCTAGATAGCCGCTCCTCCCAACAAGATTTTCTAGGACAGCTGTACTTTGCATGAAGTTAGAAGATTGGGAGGACGGGCTGCTGAGGGAACTTGATGATTGTACCGAGCTGGATTCGAGAGTGGACGTTGGCGTAAGCGTAGACGTAGGCGTAGGCGTTGAGGATGGGGTCTCGCTCGTTTCGATGGAAGACGTAACAACCACGACACTCGTCGGAACGGGTTCTGACGGTATAGCGGCATTTGTGACTCTCTCAGAGGCTGGTGACTCCGTCAGAAGCGGCGTTGACGAAGCACTGAACGTCTCGCTTTCCATCGTCGCTTTGTCTTGGTTATTCCCGCTACCATGCTTCACGTAACTGAGCGATCCTATTATTACACCGATAACTACGACGAGAGCTGCCAGGATAAATGTTGCCCAGCACAGCTGGACTTTTCGCTTTGACATTGCTCCATCGGCAGGTTTTTCGGGCACGTCGCTTGACCCTCCAAATTCTCCTGGCGTTGAGGAGTCGACAGGTATATCGACCATGCCCCTTTGAAAAGCTTCACTCTTCGTTTCCTTCGCAAAAGGACCCGGATTGAACTCCTTGTAGTCGTCAATTCTGGGGTAAAATGAGTTTCTATCACTGTATCGTTTTGTGCAGGTTGAATCTCTGGGGCCCATTGAGTGGTTGTACTGTGGTAGGTCGTCGTCCGTCTCCCAGCTTTGGTCGAATTTCGAAACTTGGAGTGGTAGAGGTATCTGGAGAGGACTGACAGGGACTTCGGGAAGTGCTTTCTCAGAGCCCCCCGCCAGGGTTTCGCCCTCAATAGTATCTGGGATGTACGGATCGTTGAGCCGCGAGGAGTTCCGTGAGGGGTGACAGTCAGATGATATGGGTCTTCTCAGGTCTCTGCCAGAGCTAGTTGATTGGTGTGCACTTTCTGGTGTTTCGGTACGCGCAATGAATGTCGATTCGGAAGTCCCGTCGTTCAAAATAGGGCGGCCTATCCTGAAGGTCCGTTCCCCTGTCGGAGTTCTGGAAGAAGACTCGCTGCTTTTTCTGGCGAGAGGCATGGATATTTACGCACAGTATGGCATATGCCACTGCGCTTTCAAGGAAGATGTAGATTGTCGAAAGGTAGAAAGTTACTGTCAATGTAAACAGGCTCACGTATCAAGCAAAAGGTAGAAGAAGAGTATATCATCAGTAGAATTGGAAAGCATATATATGCCACACCAGTGTGTGAGTAATAGGAAATGCCGTAATGTGTCACAGTCGACTCAACCCTGAGTCATGACTGTGTGACGCGAACCAAGTGACAATGCTCAGGCCCAGTCCCAGGCCACGTTGACCCTGCCCTTGGCTTTATCAGCCAACTTGTCGAACGCGGAAGGGCTGACATCGATGTCGTCGTAAGCACATGCCGCGCCTGGCACAACATTAGCAACAGCAATATGAAGTGGCGTGAGACGGGATATGCCATCCGGAGTACTTACACTTGTCGACAATGGTGACAACGATGCTGGCGTCCTTGCCAGTGCGCTCGTCCACGCGGTGAGCTCGAATCTTCCTACCACAGAGCGGGTTGTTGTTAGGGTTGGGAGTATTGACTTCGTCAACTGATTAAAACACAGTGTTAGTGTATATCTCGTAGATGATTTAGCGACGATCAACACTTACAGCGTCCGTGGGAAACAGCCATGACAGCGTCGTTGTCACCGTGAACATGACCGCAAGCCCCCATCGCAGGATGATAGAATGTCAGCTGGCCTTCCTTTTGCTCAGGGGATTCGCCGGTTGAAGACCCGGCATTATTGCTGTAGGTGGTGTTAGCGGAGGCTCTATCAAAAAAAGGCAAATCACGAAGACTCACTCGGAGGGGATAGTCAAGCCTGCTGCGAGACCGATGATGAGAGCCAGAAGGGAAGCAAAGGTGATTCCGATCATGATGAGTAGTGTACGGCGGTTGATGTGGTTGTTGAAGTATCTTTTGTGTGCTGGCAGAAAGTTGTTGAAGTGTCGAGAGAGTGTCGAAGCAAAAGTGCTTGTCTTTATACCAGTAAAGATGCCAGAGGTGAGTCCATACCGCCTTCCATGGTGAGGTGACTTATCGTCAGGTGCGGGCACTTCACGTGGAGCGGTGACTCTAACGGCATTTTTCGTTTGTTGACCTGAAGGTAAAGGTGCTTCCAATTTCGATCCGATTGTAGTAGTGTCAATGTGCGGGGCCTTCAAGTGCGCCTGGGATGCTTCTGGAAGCGGCTTCCGTGATATTACTGGAGCATTCATAACTATATATCAAAAGCGCGTAGCGTGTGTGTAACGTGAATAGACTATTGGGGGTATCTCAAAGCATGTAAACGTCATAACATATTGAAGCGATTGTCGTCGGAAATGAGTGTATGCCTAGACGGCTGGGACCGACGTGGGTGGAAACGAAGGACTAGGGTGGAGTATGGAGAAGGCGCGAACTTGTGGGTCGCGAGAGTGAAAGACATCAAGGGGTCAGCGCGGGTCCTTGGCCTTTCGGTGATTCGCTATTCGCCGAGGCTCGTCCGAAACATGGCGACCTCACTTGAACTTGACAGAACACTGTTCAATACACTGTCCGTAAACTCGCTCATACCGCTATCGCGCTCTCGTTTGAAATCTTAAAGCAATCGGTGATCTGAAATCACGTTTGCTCAGATAACTACAACTTTGGTACCCGTTTGCGAGTCTCGGCTGCTACCAACGCACTTTACGCCGCACCTCGGTACATACACATTCACAGCACATCGACTCACAAGCCTCCGACTCATACCGCAGATAGAGTCATGGCGGAACAGAGCATCAACATTCCCCAAGTCATCGTTTTCATCGTCGTCACGTTCCTTGCTGTACGATGGTACTTGAGAAAGCCGACGGCGGCGGTCCCAGGCACGCGAGCTGCGGCGAACCGCGCTGCACTCCGCGTGAGCCCTGCGCAAATAGACCAAGTCGCTGAGATGCTGCCGCAGTTGAGCAGACGCGACATCGCATGGGATCTGCAGAGGAATGGCGGAAACGTTGCGGCGACAACGGAGCGGGCCCTGAGCGGGCGAGGGTTAGACACGGTAAGTCTCTCGATTTGAAACCTGTCATGCCGTCGACATATGCTAATACATGCACAGGCACCAGCGTCTTTCCAAATACCAACACCGGCACCGCGAGTCGCAGCTACACCGGCGCGACCATCCCCAGCCCCAGCGAGACCCGCACATCCCGATCTGATAACGCGATACAATCTGTCCTCGAAGCTTAGTCAAGTCTCGCAACCGACACAGGAGGAGCAGCCAAAGGCGAAGTCATGGAGTGCGGACAAGAGTGAGAGGCAAGCGAACTTACAAAGACGGCGAGAGGAGATGATTCTGGCAGCACGGAGAAAGCTCGAAGCACAGGAAAAGGCAAAAGCGTCAGGCGCTGCATAGCCGCGGCTATATCATGCTGGGAAGAGGAAGAGGAGGAGACAGGAAAGTGGAGCATGAACGCATGCGCTGGTTGTTATACCCTAGATCGCTTCCACAATATACATTACCGTGTACACCACCAGATAATGGTAAGTACTCTGTACTTCCCATGGTTTCTTTCCTGAGATCTTCTTCGTATGCAACGTATGTAAAACCTCCGACTAGTGACATGATGTGTAGTCTCATTGGCTTCATGCTACCTAGATTCTAATATTATTGTTGCAGTAAACACATTTTACGACCATCACTTCGTCAGGGTTTCAATTTCAACAACAGACCAAACGACATTATCTTAGATCACCATATCTACCTTATTGCTCTCGATGTCAAAACTCGCATAGCAGAGAATGCAGCATGCATTCTCAGCGTCTACAATATGTGACGTCACATTCCCTACTCAGTATCTGGCCACTGTGCCAATCATCCCACCGAATTTAACCATCACTATGCCGGCTTGCGACTGACAAGTGTAGAAATTCCTGAGGAACTGTCCCAGAGATAATGTGTGCGTACATCGGTGAACAGTTCTCAATGCAGACGCGGACTTACAGCGGACGGAGTTAAGCCTAAGTCAACCGGCATGACATTATCTAGGCGGCTCCCTGATCAACGACATTTATAGAGAGGTGTCCTGGCCTGATTTATCAAAAATCAATAACTCTGAATAGATCTATTTGTCTACAATCTCAAGGGCCCTCTTCGTCAATTCTTCAAACCGCGTACTATGTCTTCATCACTACCCTACAATCGCCAGAACGCGCTTGCCTCAACCATCGCAGCAGACAATGCATCCAACATAGCTGGCAAGATCGTCTTGACGACTGGCGTAACGCAAGGCGGCCTAGGAGCAACGTTCGTCGAAGAGATCGCAAAGCACAACCCCGCTCTTCTGATCCTCGCTGGTCGCTCGCCATCAAAGGTTCAAGCCACAGTCGACAAGATAACATCAAACCCAGCGAGCGGCAACGTCAAAGTGCGTGTCTTAACCCTCGATCTGGCATCGCAAAAGCAAGTCCGCGATGCCGCGAATGAAGTTCTCGCATATCCAGAATCCCACATCGATGTCCTCGTCAACTCAGCAGGCATAATGAAGGGCCCCTACCGTACAACAGCCGACGGCATCGAGAACCAATTCGGATGCAACCACATTGGGCATTTCCTCTTCACAAATCTCATCATGCCTAAGCTCCTTGCTGCCAAGGCACCCCGGATCGTCAACATATCCAGTGATGGTCATCGCTTCAGTGGTGTGCGATTCGACGATCCGAACTTCCAAGATGGCAAAGTGTACGATCAGTGGGAAGCATATGGCCAGAGTAAGACGGCAAACATCTTATTCTCCTATGCGTTGGCAAGGAAACTGGGTCCGAAGGGTCTCAGAGCGTACAGTTTGCATCCAGGAGTGACGATCGGAACGTCTCTTGCTGAGAAATTCGACGATGAAGACATGAAGAGTGTCGGTAAGTCGTCATTGTTGAGAGTTGACACGATCGCTGTTCTGACAAGCATACAGTGGCCAAGGACAAACAGATCGGCTGGGCTCGTGAGTTTGACCTGAAGTCGCTCGATGAGTGTGCGGCTACCCATGTTGTTGCCGCCTTCGATACAAGATTGGACGACTACAACGGCGCGTATCTCGACAACGCCAACGTGGCGCCGCAAGAAGTGCAGCCGACTGCGACGAAGCCGGAAGACCCAGAGAGGCTGTGGAAACTGAGCGAGATGCTTGTAGGAGAGGAATTCGTATATTGAGCAAGAGGCTGCTCTATAGATAGATCACACTATCTGGGTATCGTAAAGCATACCAACGCCATTGCAATGCTACATTCAGTCGTTTTCTATCCTCATGCCCACTTCAAGCACCTCGTTGCTTCGTGCGCGTCTTTGCACTCCAACCCACACACTCGCGCTCCACATTTGCGACACTTGATTTGTCCCCAGTATCCGCAATTGTCGCAAAACTGTCTCTGTGGTGGACCGCCAGTGGGAGGAGGCGCGGCGTGGCTTGCAGCGTAGGAAAGTGGTGGAGCGGCAAGTAGAGCCTCGAGCTCGGTGGGGTTCAACGGCGCGGGTATGGAATCGTCGATCGAGAGCAGCGCGTCGTCTGCATTTGCGTCCTCGAGACGCGACGGAGTCTGCGCAACTGTTGGAGGCCCTGGCGTTGCTTCTACTGGCGTCGCAGGCACAGAAGCATATGTGCTTTGCCTTCGCAAGGCTTGCGCTGCTCCCCTTCCCCCTGTGGGCTGAGAAACGCTTCCCCTGGACGTAGTTGTTGTTTGTCCTAATTGCGCCTCTTCATCGTCGAGCCAATGCTTGATCTGCCGCTGGTATTGTATGATCCTCCTTGCATTTTGTGTCTTTGGCACGCTCGGCTTCCCGGGGATCGTGATGAGCTGCTTGGGGTCGTTGTCGCGTTCTAGTTCGGCTATCCGTCGAGCTATGGCTGTCTGTTGTCGGGCAGAGAGCTCGTTTTCCGCCCGTTGACCGCCTGGTGTTGCTGCGGCGGCGCGCTTCTTGTTCTTGGGGTTGATGGCGACTTTTGAGGGGTCGTAGCCTGTGTCGACGACATACGTCCATCCAGGCGCGACGGTCGCCGTGGAGTTCGGAAGTACTTCGACGTGTGGCATGGTGGAGTGTGGAGTGCAGGAGGTGATGATGCGGAGAGTCCGGAGGTCTAGGAATTATGGATCACATGCCGACGCGTCGCAAAGTCCAGATGCCGCGTACCTGCATGATCGATGCGGGGTACGTACACCATCTGGATTACTTCCGATCTTGTCATCATCTTGTCGGATGTTAGCCGTGATCATCAAAAGGCTATTGCATCCTCGGTAGATCTTTAATATGTATAGTCCCGGAAAGCCGTAGATCGAACTTGTGACCACTTGCCCGAACAACCCCAGCTACCTAGGTCACTGCACATCGCCCATACAACCAAGCATGGCGCCTGAAAGGAAACCGCCAATTGTGCTTCCACCCACAACCCCACCAAGCGATGTTTCTAAGTCCGCGGCCTTCATCTTCATCCACGGTCTCGGTGACGAAGCAGAAGGACTGGAAAGCGTTGCTCGCCAATTCCAATCCGCGAACAAATTGCCACACATGTCTTGGACTATACCCAATGCTTTAGAGAACCATGACCTAGCCACTACAGCCTGGTATCTACCCACACGCCTCTCTCCTTATCCACCATCTCGACCTGAGCTCGAAGACGACGAAGATGAAGAGGGAATGATGGCTACCGTATCCTACATCACAACACTGATTGATGATCTGGTCAGTCAAGGCGTTCCAACGGAAAGGATTGTCTTGGGAGGGTTTTCACAGGGCCATGCTATGGCACTTTTGACTGGATTGGTATCAAAATATGCCGGGAAGCTGGGAGGGTTGGTCGGATTATCTGGATATCTTCCTCTGCCAGATAAAATACCCAGGTTGAGGGAACAAGCTGGGTTGCCA